ATCTGTTGATGTTCAGAATTTCTTTGATCCTCTCGAGATGGGTGTTACTCCATCTACTATGAGTGGTGACTCTTCTTCACGTTCACGTGAGCGATCTCCTATAGAACCGCCATGAACCATTCAAATATTTTTCAATGGAATTATATTGCAGAGGACTTAGGCACAATTTTAACGAGCTGCAATTATTAACAACTGATTTAAGTCCATCAGCAATTTCTTTACAAGAGACGTACTTAAAAAATACAGATAAATTTGAATTAAGGCAGTACAGTTCGTATCATTCTTTTTCTCTTCCGGGAGATAAAGCTACTGGAGGTGCTTCTATGTTGGTGCGGCGGGGCGTTGTTCACAGTCCTGTTCCGCTTGACATGAATTTGCAAGCAGTTGCAGTTAGACTTACACTGCATATTGCCTTCACACTTTGCTCCTTATACATTCCTCCATCTTCAAATCTTCAGCGAAATGATCTACAAAAACTATACGACCAGCTCCCAAAGCCCTGTGTCATCATGGGTGATCTAAATGGGCATAATCCTTTATGGGGAAGTTCAACCATTAATCATAAGGGAAAAGTGATCGAGGATTTTGTTTCCGATAATGACCTCTGCATCTTTAACGATGACTCGGACACCTACTTACATCCTGCAACTGGTACATCATTAGATCTGTCGTTGACGGATTCAGTTTTGTTGAATGAATTCTCATGGTCCGTCCATGATGACCTATGTGGGAGTGACCATTTCCCCACGGTGCTTAAACCAATTAATCCCGCTGATGTTCCACCTTCACCTCGATGGAATTTTGTGAAGGCTGATTGGCTTTTATTTCAATCTTTATGCAAAGATAAATTACTACCTACGTCTTTTCAGAATGTTACTGACCCGATTCAGTTGTTCTCAGATCTACTGAATGAAATTGCTGATGAATCAATACCTAAGTCCTCGATCAACCCACGTGTTCGTAAACCGTGGTTTGATGACACTTGCAAACAAGCTAGGAAATGTCGTAAGAAGGCGGAGAAGTACTTCCGTAAACATCCCACTGTCCATAATTTAAATATTGTAAAAATTTCAAATGCCAAGGCAAGACGTCTATTTAAGCAAAATAAACGTCAATCCTGGCGGACTTATGTCTCTAAAATTAACTCTCGTACCCCTATGTCCAAGGTATGGAACATGATTAAAAAGATCAAAGGCAAGGGATCAAATTCTACAGTTAACCATCTGAAGGATGGCGATACTTTGTTAACTGATAAATCTGCCATTGCCAATAGCATTGGTGAAACTTTATCTCATCATTCTTCTTCATCTAATTACGCTCCTGATTTTAAAAAATATCAGCTTCAACAGGAAAAGAAAAAAGTAAATTTTACATCTGATAATGGTGAAGATTACAATGAGGTATTTTCACTACATGAGCTATATACTGCCTTAGGGCAAGCTCATGATACAGCAGCAGGCGCTGATAATATTCATTATCAGCTGCTGAAACACTTGCCCGAATCATGCCTTGAAACTATGTTAAATATATTCGATGATATTTGGACATCTGGGATGTTTCCAGCTTCATGGCATAAAGCCATTGTTATCCCCATTCCCAAACCTGGGCGGGATCATTCTGATCCATCAAATTACCGACCTATCTCTTTAACTAGCTGTGTTTGTAAAACGATGGAACGCATGGTAAATAATCGATTAGTGTGGTACTTGGAAACAAATAATCTTCTTTCCAATATACAATGTGGTTTCCGGAAAAATAGAAGTACTATCGATCATTTAGTGCGTTTAGAATCGTTCCTTAAAAATTCCATTGTAAATAGACAACATGCTGTATCGATCTTTTTCGATTTAGAAAAAGCTTACGATACAACATGGAAACATGGTATTTTAAAAGATCTTAATGATTTTGGATTAAGAGGCCGTCTGCCTCATTTTATATCCCAGTTTTTAACAGACAGGCAATTTCAAGTCCGAGTGGGTACAACCCTGTCTGATCATTATAATCAGGATCAGGGTGTCCCACAAGGCAGTATTTTGTCTGTCACTTTATTCAGTATAAAAATTAACAGTTTGTCCAAAGTTTTAAATGATTCAGTTGATGGATCACTTTTTGTGGATGATTTTAATCTATCTTGTCGTGGTAAAAATATGCACACAATAGAAAGGCAATTACAATTATGTCTTAATAAAATTAACAAGTGGTGTCTTGAAAACGGGTTTAAATTTTCTAAATCAAAAACTAATTGTATTCATTTCTGCCGAAAATATAAACCGCATAAGGACCCTGAACTATTTCTGAATGGCACTCCTATCAAAGTTGTTAAGGAGGCCAAGTTCTTGGGACTTATTTTTGATAGCCACTTAACTTTCCTCCCACATATTAAATACCTTAAAGCTAAATGCCTGAAGGCTCTCGATCTATTGAAAGTTGTTTCTAATTCAAAGTGGGGAGGGGATCAGACAACCCTCTTACACTTATATCGATCACTGATCCGTTCTAAACTTGATTACGGCTCCATCGTCTATGGTGGAGCATGTAAAAGTAATCTAAAAAAACTAGATACCATCCATCACCAAGGTCTGAGGCTTTGCCTTGGTGCCTTTCGCACTTCTCCTATTCCAAGTCTGTCTGTTGAAGCGGATGAGCCTTCTCTTAAACAACGCCGTGTGAAACTATCATTACAATACATCACTAAATTATATTCAAATCAGTCAAATCCAGCTTTTAATTGCGTATTTAATCCTCTCTACGAAGATATTTACAATAAGAAATCATCTCTTGTTCCACCACTTGGAATAAGAATAAAATCAGTCGTTTCTGCTGCGAACATTAACTTTCAAGATATAGCTCCTACACAACTTTTTTCATCACCTCCTTGGCAAATGGTAAGACCAACTGTAGATCTCACATTAACTAGTCTTAAGAAATCTGATACAAACCCACTAATTTATCAACAAGAATACAATCAATTACGAAACAATTATGACACTTATAAATCTATATTTACAGATGGATCCAAGGATGGTGGCGCAGTTGCTAGTGCCACTGTCATTGGATCCAGAACAGTATCTTCAAGATTACCCGATAATAGTTCCATATTCACAGCAGAAGCACACGCCATTTTTAACGGCACTAAAATATATCAAGAACAAATCTAAATATAAAGAATTCATTATTTTTTCAGACTCACTTTCGTGCCTTCAGGCTATTAAAAATATGTCATGTAAACATCCATTTTTAATTGAAATTCTTGAGTTATTTAATGATCTTGCGACTGGCCAATATGACATCGTCTTTTGTTGGTTACCAAGCCATGTTGGGATTGTTGGTAACACACTGGCTGATGCTGCTGCAAAAGCAGCACTCAACAAATCTGTGACACCACTTCTTTTACCATACAGTGATTATAAACCTATAATTAGATCTTACATCCGTGATCTGATGCAAAAGAAGTGGGACACCCAAGTAGGTATAAATAAATTACATGAAATAAAACCAAATACTGGTTACACCTACTTGGGCTGTCAGTCCAGATTTGAAGAGGTTGTATTAAGACGATGTCGTATTGGTCACTCACGTTATACTCATGAATATTTACTTAAAGGTGAGGATCCTCCATTCTGTATCCCTTGTGATGAAAGAATCACGGTCAAGCATGTCCTGCTTGACTGTGTTGATTTTTCCATCACAAGGGATAACTATTCCACAGTTTCATCGCTAAAGGATCTTTTTAATCACGTAAGTAGTCATTTAATTATTGTTTTTTTAAAAGAAATAGAATTATTACATAAATTTTGATGATATGTTCTGTAAATAATATATATTTTAGTATTGGTAGCGGAAAACTTTTTAACTGAGATTGTTCGTGGCTTTACCCTTGATGGGGGTTGAAGTAGTGTAAAATGATTGTCCCCTAGAGAGGGTTTGTCAGACCACGTCATTCTAAGTAATGTTTTTTCACCACAATTTTAATCGTAGTATATATGTTCTTTTATTCTGGCTACATTTGTCAATCATCGCCAACACCTGAAGGGATGATGTAAATCCAGCTGGGGTCCATGCAGGTAGCAAAAGTACTGTAAGTCCCCATGGTCCCCAGCGTGGTGATCTACCTTCAGTTGTTGGAGATCATAGCCTGTTTTTATAATGTATTGTTATGTATAGTAATATCAATTTTATGACTCCATACTAGTTTTAAATATTTCTCTGTGATAAGTCTTGTTATTTTACTGCCCATCGTTGGCAGGTTTTTTATATGTTTTCAAAGTATTTATAATCTTAAACCTTTGATAGTGACGTTATGGCTGAAATATTGCCCATGTGACTTAAAACTTAACTCACTCACTCACTCACTGTCTGCTCGCAATGAACATGTCTAGAAGTATGTTTTGTTTCTATGACCTCTCTATACCGATGCATGGACGCATTGTTAAGTTGCAACAAACAACACGATATGATGTCTATAATTGATTTTAACATACTTGAGAATATATTTCATCTGTCAAAGTATATGTATACATTACAATACATTAAGTAAATCAAAGACACATATAACGTCATATATATATGTCGACCATGTTTATACATGCCAAGAATTTACACAAATATGTCATGTAATGAACAGTACCTTCCTCAACTACAGGTGAGATCAGTTGAAATTATGCTTAACGTCGCGTCCAAGATTATTGCATTTACATAGCGACGTGCGTATGCACGTGTGTGTGTGTGTGTGTGTGTGTGTGTGTGTGTGTGTGTGTGTGTGTGTGTGTGTGTGTGTGTGTGTGTGTGTGTGTGACTGCTTGAACTAGTCCGGACTAATGCAACTTTGCTGCCGTTTAACATGGATACCCCACTCAGACACAGTATACAGACTCTGAGCCGACCAGTCCTTGTTTTAGCCAACTGAGATACCATGCCGCAGTTTAACATGGATACCCCACTCAGACACAGTATGCTGACTCCGAGCCGTCCAGTCTTTGTTTTAGCCCTTTGTTTTCTCCTCCTGCATATCATTCTTCCTCCAACCGACTCTACATTCGCATGATCACAGACGGTTCAGTTAGCAGAAAAGGGTTTCAGGTTAAATATGAGGCAATAAGTAAGAGCCTTTATCTCTTTCTTGCTGAACTGTTTGACAGTCATAACAAAGTTGATGGATAGCAAAGTAAACAAAACGTTTATGGATAACAACTTCTATGGTATACTGTAACAGCGGCGATACCGAACAACGGAGAAATGATTCATATATCGATACATCACTATACTGAAATTAACAAATTGTTCTGTAGATCACTTAGTAACATATCATTAAACATGTCATTCCATTGCAAGATTGACCAAATATCAACACCAGGTATTCCATTCAGCACTTTCGTATTACAGCATGTGGCGGATCGCTCACAGGAACATATGGCGCTATCAAGAGTCCCAATTACCCGAATCCCTACCCACATGGAACAAACTGCTTGTGGAAGATAACTGCTCCAACCAACTACTACATCAAGCTCACCATTAACGACTTCCACGTCGAATCACACTCGAACTGCAATTTTGATGCTCTTGAGGTAGGAGAACATCACCCCAGATGTAATTACAATTAAAATTAAGTTTGATTTAAGACTAAAATTATACCAATATGATGGCTTCGTCAGATCACCGTTAAATGTTTCTTTCAAATAGGAATGTATACTGTGATTCTTTCTCTATCATATTTTTTGTCAATGGTAGTATGTGATGTCACGTAGGCTAAAACAGGTTCCGTATACCTCATGTATGTGTCAGTGGGGATTGGATGATATGATTATAACCATTGTATGTCACCATTAGTAACATATCATTCAACATGTCATTCCATTGCAAGATTGACCAAATACCAACACTCAACGGCTAGGCACTTTCCTATCGACCAATGGTTTGCCCAGGCCAGTCTCAATTGTAGGCCACCGTAACACAGCTGAAACTGTGCTGACTGCCACCATCTTCCGAGGCAAGGGCGTTAACCGACTATAAAAGTCCAGATTCTACCCTTACCTAACTAGGATGGACTATTGTTGCTCAATCGTAGCTCCACCAGTGACTATTACGAGTTATGTCCCATCTATGTCCCTTCTATCCATCAATTAGATTCAATCTCTTTTTGCATTTGCTTCTGACAAAGTGGTGGCACCTATTCAAGACGATCGTATCAATAATCCTAATCTACGATGTAATAAAACGGGTCTCACCTTGCGAAGTGCATCAAATCACTAGAACGCCTTGATTAACAACCTAAACACAATATTTGAAAATATCTTTCGATGCCCACTTGACGGTACACATTCTTTGCAAATCCTGCAATCAACCCAAATCTGCATGTTGAAATCCATGTTGCTCATGAACTAGATGTCTCTTTCGTTGGGCGATTTTGATTGGACTATGCTCGCACCAGTTAGTTCAGCCAATATATAACTCCAGAATTCCAGCTTAGTTCGGCAAGGGCGGATACTGGACTTTTATAGTCAGCTAACTCCCTTGCCTCGGGAAAATGAATACCACATAAAGCTACAAACTAACAAGTACTGTGTGATATGTATACGTCTTGTATGTCCCATGAAGGTGTATGGAGGTCCAGACGCGTCGGCCCCACAGTTAGCCAAGCTTTGCCACAGTCAGACAACAACACAAGTCCTCACAACCACTGGCAATACCTTGTCCCTCAGATTTAGGAGTGACGCTGGCGTGACCATGAAGGGCTTTTCAGCCGTGTACAAGGCATTTAGTGGAGGTAATTGACATGCTGTCAAGGCTGCCATCTTTTGATGTTTATTTGTTGCATATAATTACGCACACGGCAGTGAGAATATATTTGATTCGTATCCATCATATATACTTCCTAATATTTTCTATTATGTTATATCATATTTTAAATGACCCTTGGATATGTCAACAGTAAAGATTCAAATAATAGTTCCATGCGTATGTGAAATCATCCAACAGTAATTCTTTCCCTCTTCGTATCAGTTAGTCCTTTCCAAAAAGATGCAAAAGCAAATAAAACGTATGACGTTTTTCATCGTTTTTGTATTCGTTTGCACGTTTAGGGCTGCGGGGGCAGCTTCAGTATTCCCCAGGGCGTCATAGTGTCCAAGAACTACCCCCAGAACTACCCCCACAACACCGACTGTCAGTGGCGGATCACAGTGGCGAGGGGAAGCAGGGTGCGGCTGAATATAACCGATTTCGACGTAGAAAGTCACAGCACCTGCCAGTACGACTATGTTGCAGTAGGTATTTCTGTAATAAAGGCGATAAAAACCATTTCCATAGTCACAAGAAATCTCTGCTAAATGCAGAGTCGATTGTTGCGAATATTAATTATCCCCCGCCCCAACGAAGTTGGCGGGGGATATAGAAATGGGTTCCGTCCGTGTGTGCGTGCGTGTGTGCGTGTGTGTGCGTGTGTGCGTCCCAAAATCGTTTCCGGAGCATAACTCAGAAACCGTTAAATATTTCTCTACGAAACTTTGCATGTCTATCAGACTCATGCTGAACTGGTGCCTTTTGCTATTTAGGATTTTTGATAATTTTTTAATTTTTACGTTTCATTGGCAACAAGTTGGACTTAGGTTCTATAAGTGTGCTGTTCGTTTCCGATGCGTAACTCAAAAACCGTTAAATAATCTCTTACAAAACTTGGCATGTTTACCAGACACATACTGAACTGATGCCTTTTGCTATTTAGGAGTTTTATAAATTTTTATTTTTTACGTTTCCATGGCAACAAGTTGGACTTAAGTTTTAATAAAGGATTGGTTTACTTAAGGAGTATAACAAATAAACTGTTAACTACTTCCTTGCCAAACATTGCATGTCTATATATAAAGCGCATACTGAACTAGTGCCATTCGATAATAAAGAGTTTTAGAAATGTTTATTTTAGAATTTCCATTGCAACTTTTTGACATGGGCTAAGGGAATGTACGGTCAGTTACCTGGTTTGGGACCATAACGTGTTAAAATGGGCGGGGGATATAGATGACTTTGTCAACTATACGCTTGTTACATATAAATACATGGACCGTTAGAATTCTTACTGAGCTACAAGTAATACAGATTAGGAAAACATATTTACATACGTGCAAGGGACCGACTATTTGTTATTTTGGGAGTTGGGATTGTATCAATGAAAAATAACTTTGCCTCTAAAATGAAATTGTTCGCTTCACGTACAGTAACTGAAAGACGTGGGTCCAAAAAGACGCCATTTTACAAGAAAGTACAAATATGTGCATATATGGTAATTCCTTTTATCTTTTGTTTCTTTAAGCTACACGATGGCTATTCTGCTGCATCTAGGCAGATGTTGAAGTACTGTGGCTCAACGCTGCCATCTCAAAGGATATATACGTCATCATCCAATCAGATGTATGTACACATGAGAACAGATGGCACCGTGAGCGCCCGTGGATTCCGAGGGGAATTCACCACTGGTGCGTATAGAATGTAACTTAGATGATGATTATGTATAAAAACTTAAAGGTGTTTCACAAGTGTAACTTTTAAATATGGACTTTCGGTCTGTTCAAGAATATTTTATGGGTACGCATCCGTTGGTTTTTGAAGAGAGTCTGTACAAATTATTTTGAATGATGTTTTCGAAACATCCTTTAACTAATTATTTTTCTTAAATTATGAGTTTTATTTGTCGTAGCAGTCTGACAGGAACATTTCATTGCAAGATTGACGAAGAATATTAATTTATAATTAGTTGCTTTCTGAAGAGTATTTCTTCTGTTTGTTATGAATTTATTTTTCAAAACATCCTTTAACTAGTTAAGATGTAATTCTTTTTTTTCATTTGTCAGTTTTGTTATTTCAGCGTGTGGCAACAGTCTCACAACAGTCTGTTTTATGAACATCTTTTAACTAATTATAATTAATTCTTTTTCTAAATTTTGAGTTTAGATGTATGTGGTAGCAGTCTGACAGACACTTACGGAACATTGACCAGCCCAAATTACCCCGGCAATTACCCCGTGAATAAAGATTGTCAGTGGAAGATTACAGTTCCAAGTGGCAGTTATATCAAGTTGACTATTACCAGTTTTGACCTCGAAACACATTCCAACTGTTCATACGATGTCGTTGAGGTATAATTTGTTGATATTTTTATAGCAACATTTAAGTTTCACCGTTTTGTTCGGTGCACCCTCTACTAATGCTTGAAAATACTCAGAAGTATGTCGGATCTTTGAGCAGTAATGCCGAGTTTGTTGGTGCCTATTGGCTGAATCGTGACCTAATAATTGGTCTCAAGCGCCTAAAATAATAGAATGTATTGTGAAGTGCAATGTAAAATCTTCATTGATGTATGTTTCTTTTGGTGCCGTAGAGCTTTTTATATATTGGTGGAATGTCAGAATAAAGTGCAGACTTATTTTTGTATTTCCATACATATATATATATATATATATATATATATATATATATATATATATATATATATATATATAGTCCATTATCTGAATCATTACAGATCTACCTCACACATACCCTTCAACCCGGCGTTAACCAAACTCACTCATTCCTCCATTGTTGCAGGTCTTTGGAGGGCCTGACCTGTCCTCTCCACGTCTTACGAGACTCTGTCACAGACAGACCACTCATCAGATTGTAACATCAACGGGGAACACCATGCTTGTGAGATTCAAAAGCGACAGCAGCGTATCGGGCACAGGGTTTTCTGCCTTTTACCAGGCTCTAAATGGAGGTAGCTAATGTTTTCAGTAACCTTCTCCTGTACGCAATACGTCGTTCTTAAAAAAACCATATACTACATTGAGCCAGCACGATTCAAGCTGTATCTCTGCGATCTGTGCATAACCGAACGCCAGTTACTGACAGCATAAGCAAATATACAGGCTACCAGGGTATAATGACACACAAATCGGCCCGACCGAACCAGACCTATCCTGACCTGGAATCCTGACTACAGCACTAACACATTGGAGTCTTAATGCAGATACTCATAATGTCCAAGACCATTCATTCCAATATGTTTATCTGATGACATATGTTAATACATACATGTTATTCTAAAGGATGTGGCGGTACATTCAGCACCCCTAATGGAGTCATTATGTCCAAAAACTACCCACAGACCTACCCTCACAACACTGAATGCCGCTGGCTGATCAAAGTTGAGTCTGGCCAAAGGATTACACTCACCTTCGTGGACTTTGACGTTGAAGATCACGCTAGCTGCAGCTATGATTATGTCGCTGTAAGTTCAGTTTGATATGGTTCATATATGTTTTGTTTTTAAAAAAAGAATATTCCCTTTTCTTTTACACGCATTTATTACTGATAAAATATGGAAAAAAAACATAATTTGAAAACATGATATTTTATCTCTCTTTTTCTAAACCTCATATTAAAGTTATTTAAACATATGATCAGAAATAAAATATTGATATGATTTAATCGATTTTTTTATGATTCTTTAATGAAGTAGACTTGGCATTTTAACATTATTCCTTTGTTTTCACATAGCTCTACGATGGGACAAGCACATCTGCCAGGCAGCTGTTGAAGCACTGTGGAAACAGGTTACCTGCTCCGACTGCATACAGGTCATCATCCAACTCCATGTACGTGCGCATGCGCTCTGACATCTCCGTCGCGTCACGGGGATTCAAGGCAGAGTACAGTTGCGCCTGATAGCGATGAGGAACTGTATTGCATTTTAGTCCATATCAACATATTCTGGACTCATTGCGATTTTATCTTTTCCTTCATATAGCTCTTTGTTTTATGCTGATATTACTGATTGAGATGATTCTAAACTAATATATGGATTTGTATAGAAAGTATTTTTCCTCTTTTTCTTTTGGAGGTACTTGATCGCTAATGTTTGCAACGTTCATTTTGCTTTGATTTTATGGTGACTTCAAACAGTTGATACCAGTGCTACTTTTGTTAACATTTCCGTTTAAATGTTATGTAGACTTGTAGAGAGTGAAACTTGTAACTTTATCCTGATAACATAAAGGTTGGATACACGTAGATGTTGTTTTTAAAAATAAGAATTCTGGTATACATTGATTTTACAATTATCATTGTTTTCTTATTCTTCGCTTACCAAGAAAGCTAAAGGAGTTCCACAATATCATTTTAGTAATAGCATGTATGACTCTGTATTTAGTATTTTCAGAAAAGATTATGTGGGTGTTATTGTTCACCTAATGGGTAAAGAAACGAACACTTATATCAATTATAATGAATATGTTTCTGAAACATTCGGATACTTTCTAATTTCGCATATGAATATATGTTTCTAATAAAAACCGTAATCTTCACTGATATACTTCTCAAATTCATTCTTTTAATTCTTTCTTTGTTTAATGACAAACAATATGCATGATTAAAAATTATGATTAAAATACTCCGTTATTAGTATTTGTTGTTTTGATACTGTTTTATTACACATAGACCGCCTGCGTGGTCTAGTGGTAAAGCGTCCGCCCGGAGAGCGGACGGTCCGGGGTTCGATCCCCGGCTGCGACATACCAAAAGACGTTAAAAGATGGTACTTGTTCTTACCCTGTCTGGCGCTCGGCATCACAGGTCTAAACAAGGACTGGTCGGCTCGGAGTCAGTATGCTGTGTCTGAGTGGGGTTAAACTGCGGCATGGTATCTCAGTGAGCTGGCACTATAAATCGGAATCAGTCCGGGCTGGTACAAGTAGCCACACACACGTGCATGCACGTCGCTAGATAAGTGTAATAATCTTGGACGCGAGGTTAAATTTAACGTAGCCAATTCTCTTCACCTTAACAGAACCAATGTTAATAATAGATATGAAACCCATGAAGATTCCGGGGTAGAATAGGTCTTCAGCAACCCATATTGGCCGTACAAGGCGACTATGCTTGTCGTAAGAGGCGACTAACGGGTGGTCAGGCTCGCTGACTTGGTTGATACATGTTATCGATCCCAATTGAATGGATCTATGCTCATGTTGTCAATCACTTGTCTAATTCAGACGCGATTATTGACAGACCACCGTCATATAGCTGGAATATTGCTGAGTACGGCGTTAAAAACAAACAAACAAACAGCATAAAAAAGATAACAAGCTAGACAGTGTTTACCCAACTACCATCTATATACTCTGTTTTGTTAATTATCTCGGAATGCATTCATCGTAGAAAGGTAATACATTAATACAAATCCTTAAAATAGCCAAATAAAACTAAAATTGACACAAAAGTGCGCTGGTATGAAATAATAATGCCGTGTGTACTCTTTGAAGCACCTTGTTTAGTGAACTTTATTGAGTGTCAGTAATAAATACTATGGCGATTGTAGTCTGGAAGCCCTTCAATGCATGAAAAAATTTTAGATTTAGGCCAAGTTTAGTTCAAACGCCATGGACACCCGCGGATGAGATGTCTTGAGGGGAGGTACATGTAGAGGGGTCAAGCCAGTTGAATTTATTTGCTGAGGAGAAATATGTTTTGGCTGTGAAGGGTAGTGTAGATGCCTTTACTGGGTTTTGTTTCTGTTTGGGGAAGTACAGATTCCCTTGTTGTTTAGACCCGTGGCCCTTTGAGAGTAATAAAAGTGACTAAATACAAATTGTCAATCCAAGAGAATAACCAGTCTAGATTATATGCCAAAACAGATTAAAGATTTGGCGTAAAGGGAAAAATAGACTTATATGAATGGACCACTGAAAATCAGTGATGACACCAGGTGTTCGAGAAACGAGTAAGCATGTTCCCTACCGGTAGCACCTGCTATTAACACAATTTGCAAACTAGACCTGAAGCCGCACAGCAATACTCCTACCATGCGATGGTGGCCTGTAAACAAACCATACAATAAATTGGTTGATGAACCAGAAAATCTAGTGACACGATAGTCCATTAACTGATTTTGTTAAAACTTATGAAAACGATATGTTAATTTAGAATTACGTCTGCTGTGTAATAACATAGCGTGAATGTTTCGCCCCAAAGCTTTCCGTTGTAGTTGACACAGCATAGACAAGTGAAACTCAGGAAAACCCCTTCCATTATCCAGCCACTGGTGGATACATTTTTTTCCTGTTTTACTGTATTTACATGATCGAAAATTGACTTTGAATACCCTGTTCACTTTGAAATGTAAGTTACTTTTATTATCTTGTGGTGTTTGTAAAACAAATTTTACTATCTGATACTAGCCAATCCTGTATCGGTATATTGTATCGGATTCAAGAACCGATGTCTGTAACATAGCAGTGGATCCGCCTACAACAACTTCCGTCATATTTGCTTTTTGCTAGTTGTTATTTGTATTAATTTATGTGAAAAGAGGTGAAGTGAAATGGGGTTTAACGTCGCGTCCAAGATTATTGCACTTATATAGCGACGTGCATGTACGTGTATGTGTGGCTGCTTGAACTGATGCCGATTTATAGTGCCAGCTCACAGAGATACCAGGCCACAGTTTAACATGAATACCCCACTCAGACACAGTATACTGACTCCGAGCCGACCAGTCCTTGTTAAGACCCTTAATGCTGAGCGCCAGACAGGGTAAGAACAAGTACCATCTTTTAACGTCTTTTGGTATGACGCGGCCGGGGATCGAGCCCCGGACTGTCCGCTCTCCGGGCGGACGCTCTACCACTAGACCACGGAGGCGGTCAATGTGTAAAGCAACAGTATTTAAACAACACATACTAACAACAGAGTATTTTAATCATAATTTTTAATCATGCATATTTTTTGTCATAAAACAAAGAAAGAATTAAAAGTAAAAGTACCCATTAGGTGAACAATAACACACACATAATTGTTTCTGAAAATGCTAAATACGGAGTCATACATGATATTACTAAAATGATATAGTTGAACAACTTTAGCATTCTTGGTAAGCGAAGAATAAGAAAATAACGATAATTGTAAAATCAATGTATACCAGAATTCTTGTTGTAAAAAAACAAAACATCTACTTGTATCCAACCTTTATGTTATCAGGATAAAGTTACCAGTTTAATTCTCGACGAGTCTACATAACATTTTAACGGAAATGTTAACAAAAATAGCACTGGTATCAAATCTTTGAAGTCACCATAAAGACAGAGCAAAATGAACGTTGCAATCATTAACGATCAAGTACTTCCAAAAGAAAAAGATGAAATATACTTTCTATACAAATCCATATATTAGTTTGTGATCTTAAATTTGGAAACTGACAGATACTCCTGTCCATATACTTGCAACTGCGTTACTTGTTCGTATTCCTGTACATGGGGACGGTCGGGTAGCCTAGTGGTTAAAGCGTTCGCCCGTCACGCCGAAGACCCGGGTTCGATTCCCGACAATGTGTCAAGCCCATTTCTGGTGACCCCCGCCGTGATATTGCTGGAATATTGCTAAAAGCGGCGTAAAACCAAACTCACTCACTCACTCACTCCTGTATATGAGGGACACTGACTGAAACGGACATAAAGCATTCACATGATTGACTTCCATGTTGTCCTCCATTCAGCAAAGGAACTGCTTTGTTTATTGTTATTACATTCAGTGCATGGAAGAACATATACTACTGGAGGGTATGAACTTTAATCATCAATACTTTTGAAATACTTATGTATCCGTTCAGCAGGCGCGCGGACAGTTCAGTTGTCAACACGTGTATATAAAAAAACAAAGCTAAATAAGTCATGATGCTACATCTACTTTATCTACAAGTACACATGTGTAAAATACACGGGCAATAAAAAACAGAATCAGCTCCATCAGTAATATCAGCATAAAAAAAGATATATGAAGGAAAAGACATCATCGCAATGAGTCCAGAAGATGTTGATATGGACTAATATGCAATACAGTTCCTCATCGCTGTCAGGCGCAACTGTACTCTGCCTTGAACCCCCGTGACACTTCGGAGTTGTCAGTGCGCATGCGCACGAACATGGAGTTGGATGATGACCTGTACGCAGTCGGAGTAGGTAATCTGTTTCCACAGTGCTTCAACAGCTGACTGGCAAATGTGCTTGTCCCATCGTAGAGCTATGTGAAAACAAAGGAACAATGTCAAAATACCAAGTCTACTTCCTTGACGAATCATCAAAATTTCTATTAAACCATATCAATATTTTTTTTCTTATCATATGTTTAAATAACTTTAATATGAGGTTTAGAAAAAGAGAGATAAAATATCACGTTTTCAAATGATGTTTTTTTGCACATTTTATTAGTAATAAATGCGTGTAAAAGAAAAGGGAATATTTCGAACTGAACTTACAGCGACATAATCATAGGCGCAGCTATCGTGATCTTCAACGTCACAGTCCCTGAAGGTGAGTGTAATCCTTTGGCCAGAGTCAACTTTGATCAGCCAGCGACATTCAGTGCTGTGGGGATAGGCCTGTGGGTAGTTCTTGGACATAATGGCTCCATTAGGGGTGCTGAATGTACCGCCACATCCTGTAGAATAACATGTAATTATGTATTAACATATGTCATCAGATAAACATATTGGAATGAATGATCTTGGACATTATGAATAAAAAGTATCCGCATTATGTGTCTAATTTGTTAGTGCTGTAGTCAGGATTCCAGGTCAGGATAGGTCTGGTTCGGTCGGGCCGATTTGTGTGTCATTATGCCACTGGTAGCCTGGATATTTGCTCATGCAGTCAGTAACTGGCTTTCGGTTATGTAAAGATTACTGAGATACAGCTGGAATTGTCGTGCCGTGTGCGTAATTATGTGCAACTAATAAACATCGAAAGATGGCAGCTTTGACAGCATGTTAATTACCTCCACTAAATGCCCTGTACCCGGCTGAAAAGCCCTTCATGGTCACGCCAGCGTCACTCCTAAATCTGAGGGACAAGGTATTGCCAGTGGTTGTGAGGACTTTTGTTGTTGTCTGACTGTGGCAAAGCTTGGCTAACTGTGGGGCCGACGGGTCTGGACCTCCATACACCTTCATGGGACATACAAGATGTATACATATCACACAGTACTTGTTAGTTTGTAGCTTTATGTGGTAGTCATTTTCCCGAGGCAAGGGAGTCAGCTGACTGTAAAAGTCAAGTTTCCACCCTTGCTGAACTAAGCTGGAATTAAGATGAGTTGTATATTGGCCGAACTAGTGAGTGAGTGAGTTTGGTTTTACGCCGATTTTAGCAATATCACGGCGGGGGACACCAATAACTAGTGTATGCATAGTCCAATGAAAATCGCGTGACGAAAGAGACAACTTGTTCATAAGCAACATGGATTACAATATGCAGATTTTCACATACTACCCATGACAAACAATTTGATAGAGAAAGAATCACAGTATACATTCCTATTTGAAAGAAACATTCAACGGTGATCTGACGAAGCCATCATATTGGTTTACTTTTAGTCTTAAATCAAACTTAAGTTATTCTTAATGGACATATTGTAATTTGATCTAGGGTGCTGGTTCTCCTACCTCAAGAGCATCGTAATTGCAGTTCGAGTGTGATTCGACGTGGAAGTCGTTAATAGTGAGCTTGATGTAGTAGTTGTTTGGAGCAGTTATCGTCCACAAGCAGTTTGTTCCATGTGGGTAGGGATTCGGGTAGTTGGGACTCTTGATAGTGCCATATGTTCTTGTGAGCGATCCGCCGCATGCTGCAATTACGAAAGTTCTGAATGGAATACCTGGTGTAGGTATTTGGTCAATCTTGCACTCGAATGACATGTTCAATGATATGTTACTAAGAGATGTACAGAACAATTTGTTCATTTCAGTATCACAGCAAAAAAATGCAGTATCCGGATACCTGCCGGATACCTCCGGACACTTACCCAAAACGCGTCCGGGTATCCGGTGGCAGATATCTTGCCCGATACCAGATCCGTGGTATCCGACATGGACACATCACCTGAAAGTATGCCACCTGGAATCCGGGTATCCGGCACCGGATACCTCAATCTGGGTGTCCAAGGATCCGGCACTGGATACCAAGGATCCGGCACCGGATACCTCAATCTGAGTTTCCAAAAACATGTCACAATTTGGGGGGTTGCATTTTGTTCAATTAAGTGTGAAACACCTAAATATATATTGGAAACTAACCAAGAAAATTGAACATTGCTGAAGGTATCCGGAAGGTATCTGGCAGGTATCCGGATGCAATTTTTCGAGGTGTCTTATTTCTGGTAAATAATGTTAGCCTGGGCATATCAGATAGCTGTAGTAATATTCTGTGTCATTTTAGTTGTAAATATCCCCTTAAAGTTGAGATCTATGGGCATGTACTTTTGGAGAAGACAATTTTTTCAATTTCATCTATAATTCTTTTTAGATGTTAAGCTGTTTAATGAACAAACATCAGTTCTAATACATGTATGATGATTAAATTTCATGTTCAGACTTCCAGATTGTTCTGAGTGAAAGTATAAACTCATCGACTGTGTGCTCACTTGGGCCTTTGGTCCTAGTGAGATGATAATATGATTATTTGTAAAGGTACAAGTACTTGTTACGAGCATACCAGCTTCATTTAAGTTTGAAACAGAATATGCCTCACTCTGAGGGTGACATGTACCAGATTTCATCACACTACAGAGAGCTGTTCCTTAGTTACTGTGAACATTTTTACTGAAAGACATTGAAAGCTAATTTGACCTTCAATATCAGTTGCGACTATTTCAAAAACAATTGTAAAGTGCTTCATTCAGGGTAATATTGACAAACATATGACAATGATATACAACTATATGTATAAGAGTTATTTAGACTTCTGCAGGAAAAGGCACATTAGAGAACAAGAGTCATCAGAAACATGACATATACCCCAGCAGCTGTCTGTAAAGTAACTACTTGTAAATGTGCAATTCTGTATGTAATGAGTCAACAGTTTAAAGTTCTTTAAGAAGCATACATTGTTTACCCACAAAAGATCAACCATGGTCGCATCCATATGAATGCCAAGTTTCGATCAAATACATTGAATGGTTTTCGAATTCTGCCCCGGAAACGAACCCCATCCCCAATTGAGTCTATGTCGAACTTCATTCCATAAAAATTCCACTATGCACAGCAAGTTGTGGTGCCTTTGATAATTAGGCCATCCATGCCAACAGGTGATAAAGAACAAGCAAACTGAAGAAATATTTGCAGAATAGCTACATGAACATGATGAACCAAACAGAATAATTTCAAATATTTACCACTGACTGCTACTCTTCTCTTGTTCCTCGTTGCTTCTCTTTTTCCATTGATGCTGTGCAGATGACTGACTCATTCATTCATCCAGAAATTCTGCAAACATAAGTATCATTCACATTAAAGAAATGTCCAAACGGTACATGCTCTACATTGAATTCAATTGAAAAGACCCCAGTTGAGATTCCAACTTAGAACTGTCCTTATTAAAATATTTCATCCAAAACATTCAGAGATAAAACATAACCATGATAACCCCATATTTAACAACTGTCAAACAATTATTTGACAACAAAGCCAGGGTCATTCAACATACACTTTACATAGGGAATCACTTTTTGCAAAAAAAGATCCTCGCCAAGGTCAGAGTCATTCCATGAAATATTGAATTATTAAGTTATGAAGCTTAACATAACAGTGTAATTATTAAAATATCTTAAGCGTAAAAAAAATAAAGTCTTTGGTGGCCATTAATGTAAATTATAGTCTGTATTAGCATCCCACGAAAGTTTAGAGTTAATAATCGTTCCTAGATCTTTGTACTTTTCTTCATTATCTATAAAAAGCGGATCTAATTTGGATCATCTTGTTTTGACCACAAATCCATTACGCCCCTTATGCAAAGGGGCAAATCCTTGTCCTCATAACAAACAGTTGACCATAATACTAAAAAAGGACCCTTGGCGTTTACGGTAAAGTATGTAGAGCAGGAAAATATCTAAATCAATCCGTTCCATAAGATCTCTGCACAGAAATCATAAGGAGTCTATGTCGAACTTCATTCCATAAAAATTTTAAAAAATAAAAATTTGAAAAATCCCAAAATATCAAAAGGCACCACTTCAGTATGTGCCTGATAGATTTGCCAAGTTTCGATCAAATACACTGAATGGTTTTCGAATTCTGCCCCGAAAACGAACCTCATCCCCAATTGAGTCTTTGTCCAACTTCATTCCATAAAAATTTTAAAAAATAAAAGTTAGAAAAATCCCAAAATATCAAAAGGCACCACTTCAGTATGTGCCTGATAGATTTGCCAAGTTTCGATCAAATACACTGAATGGTTTTCGAATTCTGCCCTGAAAACGAACCCCATCCCCAATTGAGTCTGTGTCCAACTTCATTCCATAAAAACGTAAAAAAATAAAAATTAGAAAAATCCCAAAATATCAAAAGGCACCACTTCAGTATGTGCCTGATAGATTTGCCAAGTTTCGATCAAATACACTGAATGGTTTGGAAAACCTGCCCCGGAAAAGGAAATGATTACGGACGGACAGACGGATGGACAGGGACAGACAGATTTGCTGATCACTATATCCCCCCGCATTATATGCCGGGGGGATAAAAAGTAAGTGTATGACCTTTTGTCAACTTCTATCCCTGCCCTAAAGAAGAGTTTGGCCATTAACAATTTTTTTGTCTGGCTATGACATTGACCTTTGACATAGCAGATCAATGTGTTATTCCAAAGATGTCCAAGCAATGCATGGTTTCGTACGATAACTGTGACTATCAAACTGAGGCAAAATATTGGAAAATCCCCATTTACACAGCTGGCTAATGAAACATAAACAACAACAAAATTATCAATTTCTTTTATTTATATGCCTATATCACACATTGAACAGTGTTCACATGATGGTTCCTGATGCAGTATGCAATTTCCTCCTATTCTTCAATACCCATAACAGAGCGGGATAACTGTTCGCTTGTTACAGTTCAGAGTTACTTGCCCTCAAACATCCTTTTCCTTCTATATTGCCATGGAAAAACAGGAACCAGGATGAGGGGAGGCCAGATGGGCTCTATCCCTGTTGCATTGTGTTAGTAGAATTGTGAACATTCTATTTGGTGTTTGGGTCCACATTTATAGACAAGTAGTCGCAAACATCATTCCTTTCAAGAGATTACCACATGGCCAAAGACAATAATTTCTTCAACGTCCTTGAAGGGTCCCACTCCGACTTGGCATTGGTTGGTCTTCTCACATTAGCCTGACCAGCCTTTGTGAGTGTGTCCCAGTGTCAGTTGGCATATAACTTCTTGGTAGGCCCCCATTGAAATAACAGGACTCTCCTCATTGCTGTCTGCCAATCACTTCGGAAATCTGGAAGGGTCCTTCCAGACTGTCAACCTGTCATCCGGGTATCTCAAGCTGGTCTTCAGTTTCTGCAGAATTATGTATAAAGATTGTAGCAATAGAAAAGAATTGTTGCAACATGTACTTACAGATAAAAGGCAGGAAATTCACTTAATTTATCATCTTTGAGTTTTGTTATATACCAAACATTTGAGATATATATTGTTCCATGCTGATGAGTTGAAACAATCATTAACTGACATCTCTTAAAAATGTTCCTAGCAACCTATACTTGCCATACAAGCCAAAGTAATAGATGAGGTAGCAAGTGGGCTCATCGACCGCTCGTAATCGTACCCAATAACGTGGGATGTTGTCCGTAACAGTCATCGTTGGTGCGTCTGGATCGAGCTCATAACATTTATCACTGGTTTGCCTAGTTGAGATTTGAGATTTGATTATTTATAATCCTTGTCATTTAGCCGAACTATTGCTGGATGTGATGTTAAATGAGTGAATTGGGTTTAACGCCTCTTTGAACAGTATTCCAGTTATATCACGGCATGCAAGCTTGATGTGGGAAGAAAGCCCAAAGTGATGCAGGTCTTACATGTTTACCACTTTGATGAAACCCACAAGCAAGTGTATGATGCTACCCTCGATTCAAACCCACGACCATCGGTTTCTGTCAAGCCCAAGAGATGCAACTATGCACAGCAAGTTGTGGTGCCTTTGATAATTAGGCCATCCATGCCAACAGGTGATAAAGAACAAGCAAACTGAAGAAATATTTGCAGAATAGCTACATGAACATGATGAACCAAACAGAATAATTTCAAATATTTACCACTGACTGCTACTCTTCTCTTGTTCCTCGTTGCTTCTCTTTTTCCATTGATGCTGTGCAGATGACTGACTCATTCATTCATCCAGAAATTCTGCAAACATAAGTATCATTCACATTAAAGAAATGTCCAAACGGTACATGCTCTACATTGAATTCAATTGAAAAGACCCCAGTTGAGATTCCAACTTAGAACTGTCCTTATTAAAATATTTCATCCAAAACATTCAGAGATAAAACATAACCATGATAACCCCATATTTAACAACTGTCAAACAATTATTTGACAACAAAGCCAGGGTCATTCAACATACACTTTACATAGGGAATCACTTTTTGCAAAAAAAGATCCTCGCCAAGGTCAGAGTCATTCCATGAAATATTGAATTATTAAGTTATGAAGCTTAACATAACAGTGTAATTATTAAAATATCTTAAGCGTAAAAAAAATATAAAGTCTTTGGTGGCCATTAATGTAAATTATAGTCTGTATTAGCATCCCACGAAAGTTTAGAGTTAATAATCGTTCCTAG